GGTGCACAGCGGCACCTCGGACCCCATCTGCGCAGACCCTCGGGACCCAGTCGTCATGGCGGCCTGGCGGGGGAGGTAGGAAGCGACCCAGGGCAGGGTGTTGGAACCCGGGGGGTTGGTGTGTTTAGGGGGTTACGTCCACTTTGAAGATCCAATACTGAGAACTGCTGGCTTCCCAGCAAACAGTCTAAGGCATCTTGCACTTGAGGCACAGGGTACTGGTCAAGCACAGTACAGCTGTTTAGGGTACAGTAGTCAATACACATCCTAATTTTCCCATTCTTTTTACAGACCACTACAATGGATGAGGCCTATGGGCCATAGGACTCTGTAATGATGCCACTTGCAGCCAGCTCCTGAAAATGATGTCACATCTTCCATCTAAGGCTACATCTACACTACAGTGCTATTTTGGGATACCAGAGATATCCCAAAATAGCAATTCCATGTCTTTTCAGCGTGCCTGTTATTTCAAAATATAGTGGTTCACTATTCTGACATCCCTGTAAACCTCCTTTCACAAGGAGTAAGGGACTTTTTGGAAGAACGATTTATTTTAAAATAAGTGCTGTGTAGACAGCGCCTAATTTGAAAATAAGCTATTTCTAAATTAGATAGAAATAAGGTATGCAATTTGTGTAGCTCAAATTGCATAGCTTATTTCGAGCTATGAGTGCAGTGCAGACGCACCTGAGAGTGAGTAGTCTTTCTAGATCTCCCCCTGAAAGGTTGAGAGTCATGTAGTCTGATGTAGTGCTTGACCTCTTTTGCACATCCCCCTCATGCTGTGAGAAAACCTTGGCTCTTTCACAAAATTTCTTCCACAGGCAGTGTCACATTACCGAATTGGAGGGAAACAGCCAGATCGCTGCTGCACCCCTAGGTGGGGGTGTTGGCCCCAGAAATTGGTATAAAAGGGAGCCATGTGGGGTATTGAATGGGAGCTTATTGTTTGCTGATCCTGTGTACGCTATTTATGTGAGTGTATAATGTCTGTGTGTGTAGGTAGGAATCTGTAATCTGTGTGGAAGCTGAATATTTCTCTGAATGTGGTTAAGCATGGCTATGGACAGGCTGATTAGCGAGGCCCTGTAGGACAACGGCACTTGATGGGCCAAGGACACACCCAAAGAATGGGGGGCTGTCCCTGAGAGCAGCCAGCAGGAAACACAGAGATTGGCCTCTGACCAGGTGACCTGCTGCATACAAGAAGAGGCCAGGAAGGAGGTATAAAGAGGCCATGTGGTCGATGCCATTTTGTTCTCAGCTCAGCACTTCATCCCAGAGGCAGCACCCGAAAGACCTGTGGACCCATCCTGATCTTAGGATGTGCAATAAGAACTTTTGAACCAGCAGCTGCAACATCTCTGCTAGAGCCTGCATCGAGAACTGGGAGATTTGGTGCATGTAACGTACTATTCTTTAACAACCTTACTCTCATGGTTTTCTTTCTTGTGTTAATAAACCTTTAGTTGTTAGATGCTAAAGGATTGGCCCAGCATGATTTGTGGGTAAGGTCCAGAGGGTAAATTGACCAGGGATCTTTGGCTGGTTTCTTGGAACCGGACAGAACTTGTCCGGGGTAGGTGGGATTGGGTGCTAGGACCCCCCACCTGTGTATGAGGCCCGGGACCATCTGGGGCACGGATATTGCTGGGGTGTCGGAGGGGTTTTGCTCGTGAGGCTTCAGGCAGGTTGCTGAAGTGCTCTGTGGGACTGGTTTGTGGCCTGTTTGGAGAGGTCACCAGTCTGCGAGCTGTAAGGAGCCCCGGATTTGAGCAATTCGCCCTGAGCGGATGCCCTCAGCTGTGCCCAGACACGGCCCGGTCCATCACAGGCAGCCCTTCCACTCCTTGGAGATTTGCCAATGTCCAAAGTTAAACTTTGCTGGATGTATTGTTCGAACTTGAGTTTCACACTGGGGTCTTACAATTGATTCAGGCTCAAAGAGGTCTGTTACTTTGCCCTTGCTTCACAGCTATATCATGGCTTGTTTTACTCAGCAATCAGTATAAACACCTTTTCCTGAAATACCGCCCCCTCATCTTGCCCTGGGGCCTGCAGTGGCTGTCGGCCCTGTTTGCTGGAGGGGAAACTACGGAGGAGCCTGGTCAAGATGTTGCCAGTAACATGGACCTGTCTTTCCCCCCATCTGCCACTTCCTGGAACGGGGGTGGAAGCGGGGCAGAATGTTCTCTCCCCATGGATGGGGGGGGGGGAATGGTTGGCTTTGGATAGGCACAAGCTCAGTGGAGGACATGGAGGGGGCGGGTCTGTCCCGACAAGCACAGGCTGCCCCCACCTCACTCAACCCTTGTGTCTTCCAAAGTCCAAACCCAGCACCAAATCCTGCTGCTCACCCAGCGTAGCCAGCTGGCTCCATGTTCATGTCAGCCTATCAGAGAGCTGGTAGCTCTGCCTCCCTCCACGGCTTCAGGCCTGAGGGTGGCATCACCAGCCCCTTCTCCCCTCCCCCGTGCTGAGGGTCACTAGTCCCAGAAGCCCCACCCAGTCAGGCTGCTATGTGTATGGAGTCCTGAGCCCCTGACTGGGCTGGGCTGCCACACAGCTTACAGGGAACCCTGGAAACCGGCCTGCGTTTCTAACCTGAGTAGTACTTGTAATCTTGCTGGCCCCAGCACAGGAAGGCTCTAAGCCCAGAGACATGAGGGTTCAAACCTAGGCCACACTGTCCAAGCCACAATTCACCAGCCAAGCTATGGTCCCTTCCTTCCTTCAGCTCTTACTCTTTGATGCTGGATTCCAGCGAAGTAACACATGTGATGCTGGGTCACTGTGGATCCTGACTGCCTTGCTCCTCGTGGGTAACAAACCACGACACCCCATCCCCAAGGGATTCCAGCTCGTCATAGGCCAGACCCATTTGAAATCCCAGCCACAGCATGGGCAAAACAGTCAGAGAGGGTAGGGGACAAGGCTGGGGGAGACACAGACCAGAGGCCAGGATGCAGCCAGGGTGAAGGCTCAGAGACAGTTAGCAGAGCTGCTGTGCAAAAGCCCGGGGCCTGGACAATAGGGGATGTGGGTTGGGATGGAGGAGAAACAGCAGAGCTGGTTGCCTGTGCCTCGCTCCTGGCCGTCCTCATGTTTCTTCAGAATTTTATTCCACTGGCTGTAAGAAATTGTCTTGCCCCCACCCCATTGAAGGAACCCAATGGTACCATGTGACTTCACACATACGTCCCTGGCTCCTGGACAGGCACAGACTCTGTTAATGGTTCATTAGCTCAAGTATAAGAGGCTGGAACAGCTCACGAGGGAAAGGACCAGATGCTGCCAGGCAGGGACCTCACTGCCCCATAGGCACCCTGTTCCCTCCTCCTCCCCAGGACTGCTTCTTACTCTGGCACAGAGGCTGCCCAGGTGAGTGGGAACTAATTGGGTAACCCTGGGCCTACACAGACCTCCTCCGGCATGGCTGGGGCCAAAGGCAGGGATTGTTATTGTAGGGCTCTGAGGAACATAGGAGCTGTACCCAGACTGGTGTATCATCATAGGTTTATTGTTGCGGGGATGAGAGGTTACAAACACCCTGCCTGCTTCTGGTTAGTTGGGGGTGGGGGGATGGACGCACATAACGGATGGGATTCTCTCCTCCCCTCCTCCAGGTACCTCCCCACCACGCCCCCTGGAAGCTGCCAGGGCCCGTCCAACCGGAGATGCTGCTCCTGAACTGCTCCTCCAAGCTGCATCAACTGGAGGTGACACTGAGGAGGCGCCTACCTGAGACATTGCAGGTGACATGGCTATGCCTAGCCCCACTGCCCATACCCCCAGGACAGGACTGAACACCCTCAAATGGGGCAGGAGCAGCAGAAAGCCCCCCACTCCTCCCCACACGCACACGCTCAGGAGATGGATTTGAGACCAAGAAGGGAGTGGTAGGTGCTTCTGTCCCATGTGGTGGATGAAGGGGGAGCATGATGAAGGGGGAGCATACCGCCCTCCCCTCCAGCACTGGCTCTTCTCCCAGCCACCAGCTCCTCCCTCACCCTCGTGTCTGCCAAAGTCCAAATCTAGCAACCATTCTGGCTGCTCACCCAGCATACCCGGTGGGACCGCCCCAGCCAATCACAGGGCAGTTGGCTCCATATCAGCCAATTACAGCACAGGTGGGCTCTGTGCCAGATACTCACTGCATGGACTGGCTTTGTGCCAGCCAATCAGAGAGCTGGGTCACTCTGGGGTCTTCCACGGGTCTGTGCTCATTACGTGGCTCAAGTGTCGGGGGGAGGGGGGTCACCGCCCTCTTTGTTCTCCCCTCCCTCCATCCACCCCCACCTGCACTCGTGGTACAATTCAGGGGTCAGACCTCAAAACCAGGAGAGCAAAGGCAAGGTGGGGGGAAGGATGCCCCCCCCAGCTCTATTTCCCTGCCCCATGTCTCCTGTTAACACTTACCCCTCCAAATCCTTGCACACTCTCTGCCCCGCACACTGATCCCTAGTGCACCCCCCCACAAATCCCTTCTCTTTGCTGCTCCCCACATTCCCCTCCCCCCTTACTCTTTGTTCCCCAAAACCTGGGCAACTGGCTTTCCTGGGCTTGGCCCCCTGAAATTGTTGTGGGGCCGTGACCATCGACTAAGGGCAGCCTGTGGTGTTACAGGCAGTCCCCGGGTTACATACAAGATAGGGACTGTAGGTTTGTTCTTAAGTTGAATCTGTACGTAAGTCGGAACTGGCGTCAGCCGCTGCTGAAACTGATCAGTTTCAACCGTGGCTGAATCTGGACGCCAGTTCTGACTTACATACAGATTCAACTTAAGAAACCCAGGCGTCCCCAAGTCAGCTGCTGCTGAAACTGATCAGCGGCTGATTCCAGGAAGACTGGGGCAGAGCAACTCTGCCTCGGGCTTCCTGTAGTCAGCCGCTGGGCCGGTTCCGCAGCGG